GAGCGGAGGAGCTTGAAAGTTCGCACTCCCCCTGTGCTATGCACACTTCAAGGAGCTCATTCACACTTCAAAAGAATCACAAGTGAAAAGTAGATTAAAGATTTGTGCAGCTCAAGGCCTTTCACGCAAAACTGGACAGTGTTTTCTCTGACATCCCTCATAATCACTCGGCTCGCGGTCCTTGGAGTTCAAACTCTGTTCTCCCAGTCCATCTTCGCTCCAGCTGCCGAGTTGGGCGATCAGCAGTATTCCACTCGTCTGACACGATCTTGAAGTCAACAGGTTCAGAGAACTTAACCAATGTTCTTCGTCGACCTGTCAGCTGAGCATACTGAACTCCCTCAGGCAACCCAGATGGTCCAGGAAGGTAAAGTTTCACGCGAGGTTGAGCGTGAAATCTCACCGCAACGCCTCGTCGTCGATCCACATGCCAAAAGTCCTTCTTGACACGAGGTGGAATAGACTGGTGGAAGTTCGACTCTGGTCCACCCCAAGCTGGCTCAGGATCCCACGTCTCTTGAGGTGGCGTCCTCAAGTACCATCCAGGATATATCACAGGAATCGGGCGAGCCGCCGCCTTGGGCTCCAGCGCTGACTGAAGTTCAGCTGCTGTGTCTTCCTGCTCATCACCAGGTGGTAGTTCATCATCGCCCTCAGAAAGGCCTGCATCTCCAGAAGCACTGAACGCACCCAGTCCGTCTCCCAGCAACCTTTCTCCTTCAAGGGACCTCCTTTGTAGGGTGTCGTCGTCTGAGGAACCACTAGGGCGCTGAGGAACCGGGCTGGTCAAAGACCTGGAACCACTCCCAACAGTAGTAGACACAACCAACCCCTTCTCATCCTGACATACACTGTCGTCATGGGCTGAGGAACCACTAGGGATCTGAGGCGCAGGACCCGCGTACCCACGACTACCAACCCTACTTCTCAACCCACTACTGGAGGAACCACTAGGGAGCTTAGGGGCCGGGCTGGCAACGAACCTGGAACCACACCCCTTAGAACCCTCGTCGTCGTCCTCGTCCCTTCCATCCGGGCTCGCAGGCTCGGACCTAACATGTGACCAATCACTCGAAGTTTCACTGAGTTCCCTCACCACTCGGATCCTTGGGTCAACATGTTTCACGCACTTCCACGTCGCAAGCGCCGTCAAGGCAACTAACAACAAAGCACCACAAGCAAGCTTCAGCAGATTATTGTTGTAGTCGAACTGGGCCTTCTCCTCGGTCTCGATGTCAACTTGGACCGTAACAAGCTTCGACACAACACCATGCAACAAGGATGCCGCCGTAAGTGCCTTCAATGCTTTTTCAGCTCCCCCGGAGCCAAGATTCATTGCAGCACCAGTGACAGCTTTCTTAATAGTATGCGACTCCCCCCCATCAACCTTTGATGGTTCCAGTTGCACACTCATCATCTGAAGAAGTTCACGTACACGAACACCTTGAAGTGATTTAGTGCACAAATCCCCCAGCATGAATCTTCCAGGCACATGGTATATGCGAAATTTTGATAACTCCAGTTGCTCTAGAAACCAAGCCGCCTTCAATCTCAAATGTCTGGTCCTCCATGCACCTTGCGGTAGCGTCATCACCGTGCAAGCGCCAATGTTATCATTATAAAGAAATGATTGTTGAGGAGCTTCAGCGAGCTCGGTGAGAAGTCCATGTAGTCCTTCCGCCAATGTCATCCCATCCAACGACGCTTGTAACTCAGCCTCAGCAGTGCTAAGGCTAGCGCATGGTTGTCGCATTGACATCCATCCAACAGGAGCGTTGCCCCACATCAAGATGATGCCAGTCTGGCTGCGATCCGTCCCCGGACAAAAGCTTGCATCAGCAAAAACCTCAATCAAGTTAAAGTTTCGTTCCACAGGCAATTGATCCCCTGGTCCATGTCCTATCCCCGGCATCCCATAAATCAGCTCCTGATGTTTGGTAGCCCGAAGATACCGAATCATGTCCTCTCCTCGTTGAATCGCCTGGTCAACATCACGCGTGATCAGCTGACCAATCCTGCTCACCCCGAACACTAGGTCAGGGCGAGTCCGTGTTGCCACCCACAACATTTCGCCAACTATGGCTTGCGCTTTGCGCAGTTTCTCGATGGAATCTTGAGGTTTGCAATCGTTGTTGTCACTCTCCTTTGCATACGGGCAACTCACAGTGCCCTGAATCTCAGGATACTTTTCAAGCAACGACTGAATATACTTGGATTGTCCAACATGAATTCCATCAGACTTCTGCTCAATCTCAAAACCACAAAAGGTAATGGCATGGCCCTCATCGGCATAATCTGGCTCACTGATCTTCCATTTCCCCTTTATGGCAGTCCAAATAGCTTCTGAGGCTTCGGCGGTACCTGACAACAAAAGATCATCGACATAAATTGTCAAGGCAGCCAACAGCTCAGAAGTAAAGGGACAATAGAGTAGCCACATGTTCGGCTCGTACTTGGATCTCGTGAGGTAGGTGGTCTTTCCACGATACACAATCTCGATCGTAGGGAGTGTTTCGTCCCTGTACACCGCCCAGTCTGCAGGACTATCCTGCAGTCCGTACAGTGCACCTGTTATCTCCCAATATTCCCCTTCTGCCGCAAATCCAGCCTGTTTGAGAACAGATGGTGGCCGCAAAAAGATGCGCTTGTTCTGCTGCCTGAGTGGCGCCAACAGAAACGCCGTTCTGATGTCTGCACCAGATGTGCGCCACTGTTTCGTTTTCGCACGATGTCCTGCTGCTCGAAGGTGACACCTGAGACTCAATGAATCTGCTCCTCCAGCATAACACTGAAGCTTACGATCACGGCTCTTGGTTTTAGCACCTTCAGCATAGTTCCCACAAGCTACAACTCGACATTTATGACGACCGCTTCCACCTTTGCGATTGAAGAGCGCCTTGGCAGGCAAAATCTCGACGACCTCGCCAGCATCCTTGAACGCTTGCATTTCTGCTTCCGGTCTACGACGCATAGCTTGATGGACATCAAATACATTGCCCANNCTCATCACTGATAGCTCCCTTCCAATCATCGATGTTTCTCAAGACTTCCTGATGTGACACAGTGATGGTTTGCAACGGTTGTGCAGGCACAGCTTCCCATGCGCCCGGATACACATGCAGATCTGAAGTTTTTTCGTAGCCGACTCCCCCGGACCCTTGTGTAGGGTCCTCATCATCATACAATCCGAACCAGTCATCATCCCCACGAAGGTGAGGAGCAGAATCCGAAGAAACCCCCAAGCTCCTAAGCCTAGCTTCTAAAACCAACCTTTCATCATTACTCACGGCTCCTTTACTTAGAAGCTGCTCCGAATCTTGCCACAACAACCATTGTTCGGCATCCTCAATCCACTGGTGAAGATCATTGAGAGGCCTGGTCAAAGCTTCCCAACCCTCCCTGGCAGCTACACTCACTTCTTCTTGCATGTGCTTATGCTGCTCCAGTAGAAACTTGCGCAACATGACATGTTCATGGAACAACTGATCAATCTCCGACTCATCAAGGCCTCGTTCAAAAGCATCCCCATGGTTTCTGCTCAACCCCTCAGCAAACACTTGCCGACATGATTCCTGACACTCTAGTGAC